ACTGGCTTGTCTCATCTGGAACCCTCTGCCTTCCTGGCAGCTTGTTTCATTGTCAACGACCCCCTGTGGCCCAGGGAGGCTGTGGGAACCCCAGTGCCAACCAACGGCCCTGATGTCCATCCCTGGCACAGATTCCCATGGCAAGTCAAGGCCCTCCTTTGGGCACTTCTAGTGAGGCCAGCCCTGTTCGAGGGCCCTAGGCACAGTGAAGGGCGTCTTTGCCCTGGAGAGCTTGGGGAAGATGACAGAAAGCATTAGCGACTAAAGAACACATAAGGTCACAACCATTGGGAGTGTGCAGATGAAGAAGTCTGGCTCTGGGCATGACAGAGATCTGAAGAAGGGACCGTGGTTGGGTCAGAGCAGGCTTTGTGCAGATGACTGGGGAAGAGGTCTTGGAGAAACATAGCATTTGGGAGGAGGGGCAAGGAAAGCTATGCAGGATGGAAAAGAGGCTGGGCAGAAGCAGGATGTGGTCGATGTCACCAGACGGCATAAAGGGGTGTATTGGGGAGGGAAGAGGTGACTGGACAGGCAAGGGGACCAAGCTGATGAGTTCTCCTTGCAAGAAGCACAGAGAGGAGCACCTGGGTGGTTCAGTGGGTTAAAGCCTCTGCCTTCGGCTCAGGTCATGTATCCCAGGGTCCTGGGATTAAGCCCCTCATCGGGCCCTCTGTTTGGCAGGGAGCCTGCTTCCCTTCCTCTCTCTGCCTGCCTCTCTGCCTACTTGTGGTCTCTGTCTGTCAAATAAATAAATAAAATCTTTAAAAAAAAAGAAGTTGAAGAAGAAGAAGCAGAGAGATACTGTGGACTTGTAAAGCAAAGAAAGTTTTGTCTGAAGAAGGTCAAGTGGATGGCACCACCAGGAAGGCACCAGGGCCCCAAGGGCTGGGTTGGAAGCTGGCGGGAGGCACTGGAATTGTCCAATAGCGATCTGAGGCTTACTGGGGCCACAGTCTGGGCAGTGGGAGTGGGAAGGGAGGAGTCAGAAAGGAGTCTCAGTTGGAAGGACAGAAGGATGCCATCTCTTCCTAAATGACTGGTCACTGTCATGTCCCATGATCTTGGGCCACAGAAGGATGCCATCTCTTCCTAAATGACTGGTCACTGTCATGTCCCATGATCTTGGGCCA